GAAAATTTGGAATTTTAACGCCATAATAGGTGTATTTTGGAGCGCTTTGCATTTGAAATTAGCGGGAAGTTACAGGGATGGCCTGTAGGGTCAACCGTATTTTTTTAAATTATTTAACCCATTAGCACTTGTAACGATACACCTTAAAGTTGTACTTAAGTGTTGAGTAACCGTGTTATTTAGCGTTTAGCAGAAAACTTTTTGTGAAAACGTTTTCTATGGGACTGGAACTAACTACTAGAGCAGACAGTAGATCAGACATATTGTCTGAGACCTCATCTCCGGTTATGAAAAATATTTACACTTTAGTCATTAGTGTAATAAGTGAGTTTTGAATCCTGAGTTCAAATTTATACACAAGATAATATTAATTTTAACTAAGACTATATTTTTGTTTTACAAGACGTATTATGGATGACCTGTTTTTACTTAAACGGTATTAAACTTTTCGCTATCCATAAGCTGGACATTGAATATGTGTATAGTGGCGCCTACCTTGTCTAGGTATATATACTATCGGTTATAGTTAGGAAGAAACGCGTTACTCGTGACACCTTACTCATAAATATTATTCTGAATTCTGTTGAATATATTTACATAATTTTAATTTGAGGCCCATTACGTCACAATGGGTTTAAATATTAAAAGTTGAAAAAGTTAAATTTACAGCCAGGACTCCTCTACTCCTTTCTGAGAGGGGCTTAGGGCAAGGTATTTTCCGCCGCGCTGCCCTAATGCTCGTTGGCGAACTTCACAATCATGTCTTCAAAATATATTTTTCTTCTTTCTTCTTCCTCACCAGGTTTCCTCACCGTGTTTTCTTCCACTGAGCGCAAGTTATATCAGCACTTAAAATTGCGATTAACAATTACTTTCGTGCCGGCGGGATCGATCCCAGGTTGTTCACGTAGTATGAAATTTACAACAAGCGCTTAGCCCCTGAGCTACAACGGCTCTAACATCATTGTTTACTTAGAATATATAACATGAATAAAATAACCCAACTGTCTAATAAAGTTCACTACAAAGAGTAAAATGTTATACCTCATACAAAACATTTCAAGCCGTTTGGGCTACATAGTGTGCCAAAGAAATAGACACATACATACAATCGAAAAACATTACCCTTCTTTTGGGGTAGTTGAGTAAAAATGCAAAGGAGTGATGATATCAGCGTATGCTAGATATAAATCCGAGAACGTACTAAACATAAGCAGCTTACTTATATATTCGTGCTAATATGTATATTTTTCTTAGGATGATGATTCTAGCAAGATTGCTTCAAAAGTTGCATCATTACCGTAGTTAAGCATTAGCGAATAATTTCTTATTGACTTTGGCGCCAATCATTTAATTTGCATAATGTCGTTTTGATTTAAGTCTTAGTGACAGAAGCTATCAAAATTTTATGCGCATTTATTTTGAGCGAGTTTTTATGATCAGAATATACTAGTTTACTGCCGGATACGGTACCTGTTTGATGGCTTAACCCTTATATATTACTTATATATATATATATATATATATATATATATATATATATATATATATATATATAAGGGTTAAGGTCATACAGGTTTACGCACCAACGTCGGCACATTCCGATGAGGAGGTGGAGGAAATGTATGAGGATATTTCCAAAGCCATACATTCCTCCAAAACCCACTACACGGTGTTGATGGGAGACTTCAACGCAAAACTAGGCACAAGAGAAAGCGGTGAGCTGAAGTTAGGGAAATTTGGAGTAGGGCAACGGAACCGAAGGGGCCAGCAGCTGGCCGACTTTATGGAGAAAGAGGGACTCTTTATGATGAACTCTTTCTTCCAGAAGCGGCCCCACAGGAAGTGGACCTGGTCGAGCCCCGACGGTTCGACAAAAAATGAGATTGACTTCATTATGACGACCAGACGCCAACTGTTCAGTGATGTCTCAGTGATCGCAAGGGTGAAAACTGGCAGCGATCACCGAATGGTTAGAGGCACACTGAACCTAAACGTTAAGTTGGAGAGGTCTCGTCTAATGAAGTCAACGCTCCGTCCCCCTCGTGCTCTGATCCAAAATCCCGAAAACTTTCAGCTCGAGTTACACAACCGCTTTCAGTGCCTACAAGATTGCAATGCAGTGGACGATATGAATGACAAGCTCGTGGAAACTGTCCATGCGGTCGGAGCTAAGTTCTGCAAGACCCGCCGCAGAAGAACACAAAAACTCTCCGATCACACTCTTAATCTCATGGCTGTTAGACGGGAGATGAGGCTGCAATCGTCAACAGATTTGACAGCATACAGGCAACTGAACAGACAGATCTCCAAATGCATGCGGCGAGACTTACGCAACTTTAATACTGCTCGTATTAAAGAAGCGATCGAGCGGAACCAGGGCTCCAAAGTCTTTGCCAGAGATCTATCTGCCAGAAAGAGCCAACTGTCAAGGCTGAAGACTGAGTGTGGCAGCATCGTTTCCGGGACACCTGAGATTTTGAGTGAGATTGAGAGGTTCTATGGGCAGCTGTACACATCATCGTTGGAGCCACACGCAAGTGTGAGTAACGATCCAAGAGCAAGTCTTATCCGACACTATTCCGATGATATCCCGGACGTCAGTCTAAGCGAGATTAGAATGGCTCTCCAGCACCTTAAAAACGGCAGGGCCCCAGGCGAGGATGGAATTACAGCGGAGCTTCTGAAAGCGGGTGGAACACCGGTACTTGAAGTCCTTCAGAAGCTCTTCAATTCCGTCCTCCATGGTGGCACTACTCCAGAGGCGTGGAGCAGAAGTGCGGTGGTCTTGTTCTTTAAGAAAGGCGACAACGCTCTCTTGAAGAACTACAGACCGATTTCCCTTCTGAGCCGCGTCTACGTGCTGTTTTCGAGAGTCATTACGAATCGTCTCGCACGCAGACTCGACGACTTCCAGCCTCCCGAACAAGCCGGTTTCCGAAAAGGCTTCAGTACCATAGACCACATACATACCCTGCGGCAGATTGTACAGAAGACTGAAGAGTACAATTTGCCACTTTGCCTGGCGTATGTGGACTATGAGAAAGCCTTTGATTCCGTCGAAATTTGGGCGGTGCTGCAGTCCCTTCAGCGGTGCCAAGTTGACTGTCGGTATATTGAAGTGCTGAAGTGTTTGTACAGTAGGGCTACGATGGCTATCCGAGTACAGAACCAGAGCTCGAAACCTATCCAACTGCAGAGAGGTGTAAGACAGGGTGACGTTATATCCCCGAAACTCTTCACCGCTGCTTTGGAAGACGTTTTCAAGCTACTGGACTGGAAAGGATACGGTATTAACATCAATGGCGAGTACATCACTCACCTTCGATTTGCCGACGATATAGTCCTTATGGCAGAATCGCTGGAGGACTTAAGCACTATGCTCAATGACCTCAATAGTGCCTCCCAACGGATAGGTCTTAAGATGAACATGGACAAAACAAAGATTATGTTTAATGTCCATGTCACACCTATGCCGGTAGTTGTTGGGAGCACTATGCTCGAAGTTGTTGACGAGTACGTTTACCTGGGACAAATAGTCCGACTAGGTAAGTCCAACTTCGACCGAGAGGTCAATCGACGGATTCAACTCGGCTGGGCAGCGTTCGGGAAATTACGACATATCTTCTCGTCAGGTATACCTCAATCTCTGAAAACTAAAGTGTACAACCAGTGCGTGTTGCCAGTGATGACTTACGGATCAGAGACGTGGTCCTTCACTGCTGGCCGTATGAGGACGCTCAAGGTCGCTCAGCGAGCTATGGAGAGGGCTATGCTCGGAGTTTCTCTGCGTGATAGACTCAGAAATGAGGATATCCGCAGTAAAACCAGATTGACCGACATAGCCCAACGGATTAGTAAGCTGAAGTGGCAATGGGCCGGCCATATAGCTCGAAGAACCGATAACCGATGGGGAAGAAAGGTTCTCGAGTGGCAGCCTCGTACCGGTAGGCGTAGTGTAGGGCGACCCCCCACTAGATGGAGTGACGACCTGGTAAGATATGCAGGAAGTCGATGGATGCAGGTGGCTCAGGACCGTGCTTTGTGGCATTACTTGGGGGAGGCCTATGTTCAGCAGTGGACTTGTGAAGGGCTGTGATGATGATGATGATGATGAAGGGTTAAGCCATCGCTATATTACTTTGTATGTATTTTTGTTGTCGTTGACATTTATTTTGACAGATTATACTGGCTGGTTTGTCAATTGTCCTGAACCCATAATCACTCACTCACTGACCGTATATTAATTCAATAATATTTATAGAAAAGGAATATTGTTTAGGATATAATATTGTTAATATATTTTATTAACATGTCAACCATAAATTGAAGATAAATTATTGAAAATATTTGCGATTGCAGTTTGATTATTGTTTTCGCAATCGACAGACATTTTATCGGGACTATCAAATCAAATGAAATAATTTATTTGTAAAACATAGGTAAAAAGTTACAAACTTGGTGGAAAAGGTATGATAAGTAACACTATGTTTCGTATTAAAAGGCATACAAATATTTAGTTATCATTATCACCTGGCTATATGAAAATTAATTTTTATTAAAAAAACAAATTCAATTATAATTGGTATGTTTAAAAATTACATAAATTATTATCTTAATTATCAATTACATAATTGTTAATAACATAAAGATAAAAATATAATAAATAAATCGGACATTAATTAATGAAGGAACTAAAAACCATTCATTTTACGAGTATCTCCAAAATATTATCTACTTCTTACTATCGTGGCTGTATTTGTTTATTTTTTATTAATTTATTTTTTCTTCTGTTTCAGATATTTTTAAAGTAATGAACGATCAAGACTGAGCTTTATAAAATGAACCTCCGAACTCTATTAACGTTAACTGCTTTTTTACTCTGCGATGCAAAGCTGCCAGGATTAAAACAGAACATTCCGCCAAATGAGCTGCCATCAAATCCCACACAGAACACACAAGCATTAAGATTGCTGCAATTCGGGTCCAAAAACGAGAAAATGAAGCGCATAGCTGATCAATATGCAGTACGGCATCGCAGAGAAATTTTCGATTCAAAGTCGTACGAATCGAGTTTGACATGGGCGCATTCGGAGCGACTCGACGAGAACGGAGACGTGGTACTACGATGGGTGAACTCGGACCCTAGCATTACGTTTAGATTGGAAGCGAGAACCCGTGGTTACGTTGGTTTAGGCTTTAATTCTGCACGAAATATGAGAGGGGCTGATTTAGTGGTCGCTTGGGTGGATGACAGGAATGGCAACGCTCAAGTTTTGGTAAGTTTTTTAGCACCTGCTGTTATTTTCTCACGACATTTTCAAGGTGAAGTCTTTTTACTATCACATTTTTTTACTATCACATATTCCGTTTTGCGCATAATTTTAACTAAATTTATGTTATTTCGCGTATTTATATGTAAAGTCTGGTCGTTAATAATTGTTAAATGAATAAATTTCAGTATAATGGGGTTTGTTTTCCTGTTTATATATTCTCTCTCTCTCTCTCTCTCTCTCTCTCTCTCTCTCTTAGCTCGTAAAAGTCCATTGTGAGACATATGCTTCCGTTATTATAGCGAGGTATTTTAAAATTTGTTATAATATTTTATAATAATACTCCTAAAGGTTTTTTAATAAAAAGTTTCTGCATCAGAATAAGTTGAGTTTACAAACTCTTTCGTAAAATGCATTTAAATTTTCAGCACTTGCTAGGAATTCAAATAGCTATTTTACTCGACTGGATCCAGACAGCGAAGCTAATGCTTTCCAATATATGTACATGATATGTGTATTATACTCGTATGTTATAGACTACGTTTCGTTGTAATAATACCGATATAAACTTCGAAAACAACAATTAAAGAAAATTTTTGAGTAAAATTGGCGCTTGCAGGGAACATTAATACGGTCGTGTCAATTAATTAGTTAATGATGATCCCTGCAGTCAGGTTTTTTAAAATTCTAGTTTTTTTTGTACGTAATTATTCATTTTCAACGTTCTTTGGGTAGTCCGTTACCTTTCCTAAATACATTTATGTTATCTTTGGTGTACCTTGTATTGTAACTCATTTAACAATGTTCCTTGTACGATAAGAATTAATTATAAAAAGGGTCTTTTTCAAACTAAGTTTTGACTATTCAATAGATTTGTTACATTTTTGTCTTATTTGAAAATTGAATTAGAAAATGTAAGAGAAGTATATTGACTCAATATACGTAGAATTGTAGGTTCTCTCTATGCATACGCATGTGTATCTAAGGCAAAGATCAAATTATTTTTGTCATCGTAATTGCAACACGTGTAACGTAATATTACGTGAACTGGTTGAAAATAATGACTTACGTAAGTGCCTACTTGTAGGTTGGCTGCAAAAGTATTGTCAAATGGGGCATTGGAATTTGTTGTTTATCTCATTGCAATTAGGTTATGTTAGACTGCAACAACGCGTTACAAAAAACAATAGTTTGCGGTTTTCGACGGCCACGTCAACGTCCCAGGCATCGAACCGTAACCGTTGCTAACGTCGTCTTCGTTGTCGTGATTCTCTTTTATACGTAGTTTTTTTTTTAATTTAAAAGAGCAGTTGGACAAAATAACTTAGTTGGTTGACGTATTGTAAAAAGTTCCAACTTTTTCCAATACTAACCGATAATATCGGCAAAAACATGTCTAATAACCAACGCTATAAAACCTGCTTTTAAATTAAAAAAAAAACCGCATCCGAATAGGTTCAACCGTTTAAGAGCTACGGTGTCACAGACAGACAGACACAATAGCGATCAAACTTATGACACCCCTCTTTTGTAGGGAGTTAAACAGTTTAAAGTGCAAGATCCTTACGATCAACTACCTTAGGCTCAGTAGACAGTCTATGTGATGATATGAGGTGGGTGAACCATGGAAGGCCACTCTAACAAATAAACAGTTATTATTCGTTTATTTAGTGGATAAATGAAACTAACAAATATTTAAGTAATACTTTGTTTTATTACATAACAAATAAACCACTTTTTTAAATTGCATATATCAATATTGATTGAACTTAAGTTTCATTGAACTCTTCTAAATGGCCTTGCTGGGAACAAGGATTCTTAGTAGGCCACTATAATAAATCAGTCATTTAACACTAAAGTTTAATAAATAGCGATTAAATCTACAATAAAAAGAAGTGGTTTTATATATTACGTAACAAAACAAAGTATTACTTAAATATTTGTTAGTTTCATTTATCCAGTAAATAAACGAATAATAACTGTTTATTTATTAGAGTGGCCTTTCATGGTACACCCACTTTATCTTAACGTCGCGTAGTCGATTTCCGAAACCAATGAAGCGAGGGACCGTACTGTCAAAATAGTAGCGCGAGCGATTCGCCGCCGCGTCTGTGATTTTCAGTTAGACAGGTGTTTGTGTAAGTAGAAGGAATTTGTCATCAAATGGCAATAACTACGACATTTTAATAATTGGCTTTCGAAGGAGCACGGCCTTCCGTGGTCCACCCACCTTATTACTATTCTAAATAAAATAAGCTCAGCCTTCTTGAAATAAATGAAAGTGCTTTCGCTTCAAAATTGAAATAGCCGATTTAATACTGCGAAATGGCTGCACGCTATTTAAGTTTTAAAATTAAAATGACTAGCTGAGTTGCCCTCAACGAATTGAATTGTACCGTCGTCGGCTTGGAATTACTTGATTGAATATTGGATTTAATTTATTTCATTCTAAATTTATCCTTTTCAACCCAGCAAAAGTCACTTGCTGAACATAAGCGGGCGGCCCACGTTCAGCAGCCATAGATTGCTCATGTTATCATGTTATCATGTTGTAGATGATCATGATCATATTTGCCATAGCTGCTATGCTTGGCAGGAAGGTTGGCATACGCAGTTTTTATTTATTTTTTATTTTTCAGTTGTTATCAGGGAGACGTCACTAATAATTTTTATTTTATATTTTTTATAGATTTTTTTTATTTTATATAAATGGTGTCATTTTTCGTTTTTGGCTAGTTTAACTGTAAGTCGCATCAGGATTGAAAAATACCCGATATTTTGTTTGTCAAATATTATATTATATGTATTTATATTTAGCGCTTGAATATTAAAATGAATAATTAGATATACCTACCTACAATATGTAACGTAATTAACGCACACCCTCAGACACCCTAATTAGTATATTATGTTATAATCATAATACACTGAATTTTTAGTTAAACATTTTTATGCACTGATTATTTATCAAATAAGTTATACCAATTCCGGAAAAATGTGGTGACAGTACAAATCCACGAGTGCAAAGACTTTAACATGCTTGAAATTAAGTTCATTTTTCTTTATTTTTATTGAATGACAGAATTAGTAATAATACAAATAAAACTGCACTCTTAAAAGTCCTATTGCCTTAAGTTACGGTCCATTTCAGTTTGTTTTGACTGTACAGATTTAGTGTGACCGTAATTTACGTAGTTTTGATTTTTTTGGGATAAAAAATTACGTATATTAAATATGAAAGGAATTGATTCAGTAAACGATTCTGAACAAACTACTTTCTCAAAGTGCGTTAATTGTGTTACATGTTGTATATATATATATATATATATATATATATATATATATATATATATATATATTATACAATATTAAAAAACTATAATAAGAAAACTAAAGCCTAAATTATCATAGGTACGGCCGTATTCCCCGCGGTGTCGTGCAAAGAACGTATTTTTCGCTGAATGGATATACTTACAATTACAATGGCTTTATATTATATTATATGAAGGATAGTTTACATTATAGGTTTATTCGGAATTTCGTAACGTAGAGGTGGCCTTTTAGATTCCAATATCCCATATCGTCCCGTAGGTGTCGTAAAAGGCGAAAGGAAACAGGATATGAATAGTAGCATTATCCTGGTAACAGCTTAAAACTATAAAATAATCGCGATTGCCAATACATAAAAATAACAAAAAAGACGAAATTATAATGAAAAGGGGGATCCCCTATGAGGCATTATATTTATTTATTTAAACTTCGTTGCACAATTGTGTACAAAAGCGGACTTATGTATCAGTCAACTAAGTAAACAGAGAACACTGGAGGTACATCGCCACTTACCATCAGACGGGCTATCCCATCTGATGGTTCTATTACTGCTATTAGTTATTTTATTTTATCTAACATCGTTAATTATTATTTATATTTGATTTAATTACGAAGAGTTGTTATTCATTTCATTATCTTGTAATGAATTTATTATTTTATATGCTTCCTCGTTATTTCTGTTTCTCAGGATTGTTAGATTGTAATTGTATGATTTTTTTAAAGGTTCCACTGGGTTTCTGGTTCTTTTCAGAACAGTGGTTTTTGTCCAAATCAGTGGTAAAAGTAAAAAAATGACTTAATAAGCACTGTTATTCTATATTGCATAAAAATGTTCTGTTCTATTCTAATTAGTAAAGTGGATAATGACCTAGCTATTGTTTAAAATAATCTGTATCGAATAAAATGGATGATTTTTTCGTTTAAAAATGGTGCATGTTTGAGCACCAGAAACTAGGGCGCAGATGTTTCTAGCACTTTTAGCTTACAACGGTACTTTTTCATGTCGTGTCTCTTTTCGAGTGTGAGTCACTTAAGATTTTTTTAAAAAGTAAAATACACCGAAGAACAAACTTTGTGTAACTGTACCTTTTAAAATATTTTTTTTAGTTACATATTTTTAATTTTTTTGCCGTAAGTGATGCGTGAGCAAGGATTTGTCAAAGTGATTTGCACTTGACAGGCGATTAAGCTAAGCGATTGTAGTTGCGGGAAACAATCCGTCATAAGCTTAGGTGTCACCTATTTTGAATTTGGAATACAATTTTATCGAGATATGCTTACGCTTCTTTAAACTACACTATAGTTAATAAAGTTCCCCTGATATCACGTGTAAACAAAAAAACTTTGTGACTTCGGATACCTATTTGTCACATATGTTTAATTTGCTATTTTTTTTAATTATAAACGTCCCACTGCGGGGCACAGGCCTCCTTTCATTTGTGAAAGGATTGTTGTAGCGATAAGTCCGCCGCGAAACAGTATGCGTTGGCAAAACTTACATTTAAAAAAATTATAGACATGCGACCTACATGTCTACAATTTTTGAAAGTGTTTTTCCTGTGAAAGTGAATGGATATAAGAGTAGAGAGAGGCCTAAGAAAAGATGGATGGATGTACATATTAGGGAAGATATGCGTAAAAAAGGAGTAAGTGAAGAGGTGACGGCTAATAGAGGA